TTCTGAGAAAGAAGAACAAAGTAGGAGGCATCTCATTACCAGATATCAAGCTCTATTACCAAGCCACTGTTCTCAAAACTGCCTGGTACTGGCACAAGAACAGACATATAGACCAATGGGATAGAATAGAGAACCCAGAAATCGACCGAAACCACTATGCTCAATTAATATTTGACAAAGGAGGCAAGAGCATACAATGGAGTCAAAACCATCTCTTCAATAAATGGTGTTGAGAAAATTGGACAGATAAATGCAAAGAAAAATGAAACTAGACCACCAACTTACACCATACACAAAAATAAACTCAAAATGGATAAAGGACTTAAACACACAATTCCCTTTTGCATTTAGCTAGCTTGAGTTGGATTTCTGTTAATTACAATTGAAAAAAACCTGACCAGTATAACAGGTGAAGGAGCTAGAGGTGCATTTTCAGGAATAGATGTGCCATTGATTAAATGATGAAGTCAAGATGACAGCTGGCTCAGGAAGGAAGAACCAAAGTTCTGTTCAGAACATGAGAATTTGAAATACCAATGAGATTCTGAAGTGGAAATATTAAGTAGTTGGTGGATATATGAATTTAGAGCTCAGTCAAGAAGAATAAAGTGTGGATATGTTTGGGCATCACTGGCATAGAGATGATATCCAAAATAATAGGACAATATGAGATAAGATCATGAGGAAGAGATTATCCAGTGGAAAGATAAGAGGGCTCAGGACCAGGCCCGAAAGAACTCCAAGATCTGTGCACCTGATGCCATAGATCACATAGATGCTAAATTTTAACATCTATGGAGAAGGTCTGCAACCCGCCCACCTCCATACAGCTGTAGTTGGTTTGCTGGATGATGTTAACAAACCCTACAAGTTTAACTTTTATTGTCAACTGTCAAAAAGGGGGGAAGGGGCTGGGTGAGGTGTGTGTGTGTGTGTGTGTGTGTGTGTGTGTGTGTGTGTGTGTGTAACTGTGTGACTGAGTAATGAGACTGATTTTCTAGTGTGGCCCATAAACCAGATTTGTAGGAATTTTGAAAAAAATATCTTGGTAGTAGGATAAACATTTATACTTTAGAACTTGTTAGGCATTTGGATTATAAAAAGCCTTTTATGTGCATGAGTCATGCCTCCATTATTTCTTGATTATAAACTTGGCAATGGAGAAGTGTACTAATCCTGTAATGGCCACCAAAGAATAATTTTTTTACGTTACATCCAGTGCACATGGAATATGGTCAACACTGCCTCTGCCTAGAGAGCAGTTTGAATAAACAAGCTGAAAGTTTAATGTTTTCTAAAGTTTCTTATTTCTGTTAGTCATGTTGTTAACTAAGCCAGAGGAATACCTATCATTATGACATACATTCGGAAATGACTAACTGTATATGCATGTATGAGTATGTCTTAAATATAATGCCATCTAAAATAAGTCTTTATCTATTCAGATGTGTATGAATTTGTTAGGTTATTAGCCTATATAATCTGTTGGGTTAAGAGTCAAACCATATATCCTAATTTGAATCTACACTAATAAAAGGGTAATATGCTAATTAGACTGGGAGACCTTTCGGACAAAGCCATGGTGGCAGGGTTGAGGCAGTGGTGGTTAGGGGCAATCAGGCTGGCCGAGGGAGGAACAGTTGGGGGCAATCAGGCCAGCAGTGGGGGATAGTGGGGGCAATCAGGCTGGCAGGGAGAGCAGTTGGGGGCGAGCAGGCTGGCAAGCAGAGTGGTTAGGGGTGATCAGGCAGGCAGGCGGGTGAGCAGTTAGGAGCCAGTGGTCCCAGATTTTGAGAGGGATATCCAACTGCTGGCAGTCGGACATCCCCTGAGGGGTCCCAGATTGGAGAGGGTGCAGGCCCAGCTGAAGGACACCATTCCCCCACTCCCCCCCGCCCCCCCCATGCACAAATTTAGTGCACCGGGCCACTAATATGTATACAATGATGATTAGAAATTGTGTTTTCAGCAAATAAAATTACCATATTTTATCATTCATTAAGTGCTTCATGGACACATGAGAAATAAAATTTTAAAATTTCTCAGTTAAAAATATAAAAATATTGATCATTTTGTTAAGGTCCAAAACAGTTCTAAGAAGCTAGGAATCTCCACAATGCTTAGTCTCTACAGATTACCTTCTGAGCATCATACTGCCCTATTGAGATGCTGTATCTTTTTTTCAATTTCCTCTAAAGTCTTTTTAATTTAAGTGAAATCAGAAATCTGTGAAGATCCAGGTGTTGTTTTCTTTCAGTAATAATAGAAGTTATTCAGGGAGGATCAACAATTTATAAATTTATGAGATTGCATAGGATATGATTACTAAAATTTTATATTTCTCCATGTTTCTAATACTTTAAATAATCAAATTGAAAATGTTGGACTAAATGTGTTCCTTATATATTCTCTCATATACTTCCTTATACATTCTTTGGATGGCCTTGTATAAATGAATGAACAAATAAATGCCATACATGACTCTACCAATAATATGAAGATTGTGTGAAAAGTCTAAAAACATAGGGAAAATATTTTACCTATTGTGTTTTTTCAGAGTAATAACTGGCTTAAATTTAAAAATGCTTCACCTATAAAAGAATTTGGGAAGTAAAGAAAACTACATCCACATCTTGATTTTATTTTTACTTTACATGGTGGAACTCAGCTGTTCAGAATAAGACTAATTATAATATTTGGTTCATGTCATTCTCTCATCGTTTGTCTAAATATAGCAACTTTTATTCATTTAAAAAATGATTTGATTATTTGTTTTTTCATAGTGGAATAGTCATCTATAAATTCACTGTCCAAAACAAAAGCTAGGACTCCAGCAACAGCCCACATCCAACCCCTGGCTCCCCCACCAATCTATCCCCCTCCTCCTTCTCACCCAAAGGATCCATCAGCCAGAATCTTATGTTCATTGTTCCTTTGATCTCATTTTAATGGTATGTAAATCAGTATAATGAGTCACAAAATGATATGTCTTACTTTGAGCTAATTTTTTTCTTACTCTTCTCTCATATCATTGTAGGTATGGTTAGGGCTGTGATATATAGTCATTATAGCCACTGTGTTCTCTTCTCATATTCTACCTCCCTAGGCAGGATGTCAGGGTGTGAGATCATGTATTTACTCTAAGCTCTCCAGTCATTCATTCTTCCTTACTCTAGAAACCTCATCTCATCCCAAGGGATTTAAAAAATATCTAAAAGATTTCTATTAACTACTTAGGTTTATAAAATGTTTTATTTTATCAAAATATGCAATGCTATATAGACATATTTACAAACACATAATCATTAGATTGCAAAAGCATACAGAACTGACCCAAGTGATTAAGTATTTTTAAAATCCATTCAACTAGATTTCTGGATTTTCATGTTCCTTTTTCTTAAGACATTAGTTACTTAATTAAAATGCAGAGTCATGTTTAAGGTTATTCTTAGACGTCTGAAATGAAGGACTAATGAATGTCCTTTCAGTTGGAAAAGAGCGAGGATAGGAAAGAAATCCTGACAAAACTCCTCAGTGAGCAACAGCAAGGTAAGTGTGATGATGATTCCTGGTATTTACTACCCTTTGTTAAGATACATGGACTTTCTAAGAGGAGGAAAGTGAGAGTAGTGGTAAAAATGAGGTGGAAACATACAAATGTGATCATGAAACCTTCCTTCCCCCTCTTCCTCCTCCTCCTCAGTAACCTGGACAGTAGCATTCAGTAAAACAAAGTGAGTTTAAAAATGTGGTATGCATTATTCATAGAATAGCAACTCTCATTCTGAATATAGATATATAAAAGCATCATGCATGTTTAAGAACGCTTAGTTGAAACTCTATGTATTTCTGATTACGTTTATTTCTCAAAATGATGTAGAATTACTGAATTTGCTAACCAGAAAATGCTTTCATAGACAGTGCAGTGTTTAACCTTTCCTTTCTTCACTTGTCTTTAATTCCTACTCACTCTCAACTGAGTTGAAGTGTTTATATTTAAACAGAACACCATTGGAACTCTAAAGAAATTGACTCACTCACTTTTTAAGTTGCGGATTTTGGTATTTTTTTTTTACAATATTCAATATGCATCACAATGTTATAAATATTTTTATTTCTTTAAGCTATTGAACTCTAGTGACCCTTAAAGGTGACTTTTACAACGTAATGCTGCAAATATTGACACTAAATTATAGGACAAAATACTGTGAAATAGTTCAAGGATAAAATCAGAGGTGGAGGAGTTGTTCTCAGACATTAATATGGCCATGCATTCATTTACAGATGATCTGTAAGCTGGAAGAAGTTATGAATAATATAGTGATAAAGAGCTACCAACCTAACAAAGGTAAAGACCTATGGCCTTTTTCCCATTTGGGCCTACATTTTTCCTTTTTTCACTGAACCAGCATAGGCCATTTCAAGAGAAACAAATAGAAGCGAAAAACAAGCGTTTAAGGCAAGTGCTCACCCAGGAAGCAGGACTCCCCATGTAAGATACCTCAAAGGAACTCTAATTCTTTTACTAACAGGACACCTGAGTCTCCTTTGATAGAACAGAGAAGCAGAGCCCAGCGAGAGACCTGCGGTGAAATCGTGCGGCCTCTGGTGAGGAAGAGAGATGCTTATATTTCTCACAAGATTTCGCCCCCTTAGTTGCAGGCCTGATGGAAGCTGGAGCCCTCCACCAATTGTGGTTCCAACTCCAGGGCTCCGGATGAAGCACAATGGGCGGGCGTGGGCCGGGAGCAAGTTCCTCTTCTCCAGCCCTTCCTGTCCGTGTTCACCAAAGTGTTTGGGGATTTAAGGTCCTGAAGTATGGACTTTCTTTCCCCCCTGCTCTTAGCAGGGTGTTTGACCTCCTGGTCCACTGCCTTCCCTGCCCCGCGCCAGCTGTGCTGCTGACCCCAGAATAAATCAAGGCTGCACCGGCCCTGGCAGAGCTCCCGGCACATTTCCTGTCTCGGCCTAAGGGAAGCCTGTTTGCTGCCAGTGTGGCAAAGGGCGGTGACCACGCTCGAGGGACACCTCGGAGCCCTTGGGCCGGACAGAGCCACGTTGGGAGCAGCTGTGGGCGCGGGGCCTCCAAGATGAGGCCGGCGCTCACCCTGTGCCTCCTCTGGCAGGCGTTCTGGCCCCGACCCGGCCTTGGCGAGCACCCCACCGCCGATCGCGCGGGCTGCTCTGCCTCGGGGGCCTGCTACAGCCTGCACCACGCGAGCATCAAGCGCCTGGCGGCCGAGGAGGCCTGCAACCTGCGCGGCGGGGAGCTCAGCACGGTGCGCGGGGGCGCTGAGCTCCGCGAGGTGTTCACTCTCCTGCGGGCAGGCCCGGGGCCCGGAGGGGGCTCCAAAGACCTTCTGTTTTGGGTGGCGCTGGAGCGTGGGCGATCCCAGTGCACCCTGGAGAGCGAGCCGTTGCGGGGTTTCTCCTGGGTGCCCCCCGACGTCCACGTCGACGGGTTGGAAAACGAAACGCTGCCCTGGGTGCAGGAGCCCCAGCGCTCTTGCGTTGCGCGGAACTGCGCGGCGCTCCAGGCCGCCGAGGGCGTGGAGCCCGGGGGCTGGAAGGAGATGCGCTGCCACTGGCGCGCCCACGGCTACCTGTGCAAGTACCAGTTCGAGGGCTTGTGCCCCGCGCCGCGCCCCGGGGCCGCCTCTGACTTGAGCTACCGCGCGCCCTTCCAGCTGCACAGCGCGGCGCTGGACTTCAGTCCCCCGGGAACCGAGGTGAGTGCGCACTGCCCGGGGCAGCAATCCATCACGGCCACCTGCATCGTAGACGGGGTCGGCGCTCGCTGGGACGGGATACCCTCCGGGGCTGTGCTCTGTCCCTGCCCCGGGAGGTACCTCCGCGCAGGCAAATGCGCAGAGCTCTCTAACTGCCTGGACGACCTGGAAGGCTTTGTCTGCGAGTGTGCTGCGGGCTTCGTGCTGGGGGAAGACGGACGCTCTTGTGTAACCTACGGAGAAGGACAGCCGGACCCGGGGGGAGCCAAGGGGCCCACCAGGCACTCCCTGGCCACTGCAGCCAGCCCCATGCCGAGGAGAACATGGTCACCCAGCGTCCCTGAAAAACCAGGAGAGATGCCCCATGTCCCTGGACAAGGCAGTTCAGCAACATCTATTTCTGAGATTCCTGGGTGGGGGGCAAAGAACACGAAGCCCACCCTGCAGATGTCCCCTCAAGCCAACTCAAAGGCTACCATCACTTCTTCAGGAAGCGTGATTCCCACGTCTAATGTCACGGCTTCCTCTAACATGCCCAAGGCTCTGGACTCCTCCTCCACCATCGTCTTCATACTTGTGAGCATAGCAGTGGTAGTGTTGGTGATCTTGACCATGACGGTGCTGGGGCTTTTCAAACTCTGCTTTCACAAAAGCCCTTCCTCTAGGCCAGAAAAGGGGCCTTTGACCCCTCCTGGGGTGGAGAGTGGTGCGCAGGCTACTGCTCTGAGCTCCAATTCTGTACAGGGCGCAACAATGGGGTGAAGTCGCAGGCTGAGGGACCGAGCAGATGGCGCCTCACTGTTTGGGACCTCTTTTGACTCTAAAGTCACATAGTGGAAGGGGACATGAGCACTTCTTGTGAGTAGTTTTTCACTCTCAATGAAAAGGGGAACGGAGAAGAGAGGCTTATCTGTGGAACTGATGATTTCTGCAGAAGTTCCCTTCCCCTTATTCCCTCTACCCCACGGAGGAGCTACATCCAAACTGGATACTCCATTTCTAATACGGAAGAGGTGGGAGTGCCTTAGGCGGTACTGAGCCCAGGATTCTACCCGGGAGAGGGCTTTTCCTGTGGATTTGAAGAAGTGATTGAACTTTTTAAGATATTGAAAGCATATAGAAAACAATACAATATTTTACATTTTATTTTTTACCACGATGGAAATAAAAACTCTGTTCAGACTGGGAATATATTGATTTAAAAATCCCAGGCAAAAAAAGTAAAAATAAAGGATTGTTGATAACCCAGACTCAAATGTCATTGGTTTCCTGGAGGAGTAATTATTTAGGAAGAGCAGCTGAGGAGCACGCTGGACATGGCAGCAAGAGTACATCCTGCCTGTAGGTTGAGGGGGGAAATGTTAAGAACTAGTAACTTCTTCCTTGTTTTCTTTCTTTAATATATTTTGCTTTCAAAGTTACTGCTATGTGTGTGCTCTGCTAGAAAGCTAAACTGCAGTATTGCCAAATCCGCTGGCTCTAGAAGCAAATTATAGTTGACCGTGCATTCAAGTGTTTACTGTGTGTCCTTGCTCAAGGAAGCAAATGGTTTGTTTTGCTCTCCCAATGTTTGTGCTCTCCAGTGTAATGACCTTCCCAACCAAAGAGCCCTTGCTTCCAATTATAGCAATGTTAATTTTCAATGAAACATTAATGCTAAGTATTGATTTGAAATCTTCTGGGTGCATTAAAGCAAAAGTAAGCTGGATTTCCTCCAAAGTTGCAATGTTTAATCCATGGAAAAACTTGAATTCCAGACCATTTCCTCCCCTGCTTAATAAAAGCATGTGTATTAACCATAGGTACTCATCTTGGAGTGATTTTAATTTAGTAAGAGTCTACAGGGGCAAAACATGACAAACAGCCTTCTGTAAGAATTAGTAGTATAAGAGTAAATGGTAAATACAAATATCTATCATCTTGTTAGGACTTGGGGTATTAGAAAATAATTTAAATGAAGCATTCCTCAAAAAACAATTAAGGCAATAATAATCACTATCTAGTGGAATTGAGACCCCCCCCCACCAGAAAATATTCCTCTTCTACTTGTGTAACTAATCTTTAAAATTAAATGTGTGGAGATTGGTGCATGGAGACAGATAGAGAAACAAGCTTAGCAACCATAAAGTTTACACTAGTCTTCATAGAACCATTTTTATGTTCTTGAGTGTGCAATGTACAAAATATACAGAGGGGTGGGCAAAAGTAGGTTTACAATTATGAGTACACAAAACAGCTTATTATTATGTTATTTACTTATTTATTTATTATATTTATTATTATTATTAACCTACTTTTGCCCACCCCTGTATATATAATATATATGGTGTTATAATATTAAAGGAATAAAGTAACAGGTAATTTGCTTCATATGTTAAAGATTTGTCTAAACAGTTGCATTTAAATAAAATTACAAATGAATTAGAATTAACAACATTTAAAGGAATTTTAAATAAAATCATTTCACAAATAAGTGTGAAGAATAAATTAGTGTCAGCTCAATTACTCTGTTTTTTTCTCACCTATTTTCCTTGTAAGTAGATCAGGAAAGAATTACAGAAAACGCTTTCATATTTGATTTCCTGAGACATAGCAATTGCAGACCAAGCTTCATATAATTTCTTTTGATTTCTAGCTATGAAGTCTTCCATAAAATTTTTATTCTATGGCAGAATCAGGCCAGCTAGGCACAGCGCTTAAGAAATATTTAAGGTTAGGATCCATGTCCTTCCTCTGTACTACGTCTCCACTATCACTTCATTAATTCTTCAACCTCTTTGAGGTTCATTTCTTTCTTACTTAAAGCCCTCTTCCCTTACACTCATTTCATTGATGTCTGTTCAGTTATTTCCTTACAAGAAAGAGTTGGAACCTAACTTACAGTCTTTCTCTCTGCCCTAAGTCCTGTATATTAATGAACTTTCCCACTGATTAGAAGTAAACCATTATTGGTGAACTTCGAGATTCCTTCTTTCTTACAATGATAAGCCTTGCTGTGAATAGTGGCCTTACATGGTATCTCTCTTTTATCTCTCTCTCTTTTAAATAATTTCATATATAAAGAAGTAATAAGTACCATAAAACATTTTTTTTATTTATTTACAAGTAACTTTTGGGCCTAATGCGCTATTACCTCTGAATACTTTAGTAATTATTTCTAGGTTATTTAATTTGTTGGCATATAATTATTCATAGAATTTCCATATAATTCTTTTTTCATTTCCATAGAATTGGTAATGGTGTCCTCTCTTTATTTCTAATTTTGGTAATTTGAGTATTTCTTCTTTGGGGGATGGGATCAGTCTAACTAAGTCTGCCAATTTTGTTGACCTATTCAAATAACTAACTTTGGGAATCGTCAATTTTTCTCTATTGTATTTCTAACCTCTATGTCATTTATTTTTTTCTAATCTTTATTATTCCATCATTTTCTTTGTTTTGGGTTTACTGTGTTATTTTTCCAATTTTTCAGAGTAGAAAATTAGGTAATTAATTTAAGATTTTTCTTTATTAATACAGGTTTTTATAGCTATACATTTCACTCTAACCTCTGCTTTAGTGACACCCAGTAAATCTGGCCGTCTTGTGTTTTCATTTTCATTCATCTCCAAGTGTTTTCTAATTTTCTTTGTGATTTTAAAAAATATATTGGTTATTTAGGAGGATGTTTCTTAATTTCCACATATTTTATAACTTCCCTGCATTCCTTCTGTTTTTAATTTTATTTCATTGTAGTTAAAAACATACTTTGTATGGCTTCAACCCTTTTTAGCTTACTGAGGTCACTCACTTTTAATGTTGAATTATATGAGTCTACCTTTAGTTCTGCCATATTTTAAAACAATATATATATATGCATATATATATGCGCTGTTGTTACGTGCATATATGCTTATAATTATTATATCTCCTGATATATGGGCTCTTTTATCACTATAAATTGTTCCTCTTTATCTCTAGTTACATTTTTTGTTTTAAGGTCTATTTTGCATGATATTGGTAGAGCAACTTCAGCTGTCTTATGGTTGCTTTTTGCCTGGTATACCTTTTTGCATCAACCTTTCTGCAGTTGATATCTTTCAACTATTTGTGTCTTTGAATCTAAAGTGTCTTCTGTAGACAGTATATAGTCAGACTATTTTCTTTAATCCATTCTCCAATCTCTGCCTACTGAATGGATGTGAAATACATTTGTCATTAATGTACTTACTGATAAGTTAGGTTACATCTACTATTTCCTATTCGCTTTCTACATGTCTCATTTCCTTTTTGTTCCTCCATTACTGTTTTCTTCTGTATTAAATAAATAGTTGATAGAATTCCATTTTAATTTTCTTATTGCTTCTTTTGCTTTCATAA